AAAATTCTGAGCAAATGTGGTAAAAGGGGATCATAGTGATGCATTAGGGAAGAAACCAGACAAAAAAGAAGCATTATTGGTGTAATTTATGATTATAATTGGAATAATGGAAAATGGAAACGCAGACCCAGAGATATCATCTTTTTTTATTCCATGCATTGCATGCAAAGCAATTCCATTTGAAAACGCATCCTAAACTCCAACCAGCTAAGAAAATAACATTAATTTTGTGTGTGTAAAAATATTAGGTTAATAATAGGCTAATTGGGTCCGAAGGTCCGTCCCCCACAGAGTCTGCGTAGAAAAACTCTGGCCCTTGGACAAATGTAGTTGAATACCCCTGCCTTAAAGTGAATAAGCTGTTGTCACATGTCAGGGTAAGACCAATCATTTACACATGCATCTGCTTTATGCCAGTCCCATAGTCCACATACACATCTGGCAGGTCCTCATTGACACCCTGCTGTCAGAATGTCTGCATCTGCATTCAGAACAAGTTCCGTCCCCATCAAACATGCTACATATTTGCAGTGAATTATTATTTGTGAAATATTATTATGGATCTTATCTTTTAATGGTTGTTTAGCCTAGGGTAGCATAAGGGATGCTCCACCTCATAAATATCCATTTGTTTGTTGAAAGTTTGGAGAAAAAGTGTAACTGAAGAGTTTTCACATTGTTGTCAAAAAACTAAAATGCTAAAACAACAAAAAAAATGGTTTATGGTAGTTGGCTACCAATACAGTACTGCATTCTCACTGCCACCAACACCTGCTTATGAGCTAAGTTAAATATGCAGCCCCTGTTGACACACATGGCCAGTTACTGTACTTGGTCTTAATAGGTTAAACTCTACATTGTTACCTCTACTCTCACCCCATTCTCTCTGTGGATTGTTTTGTATATAAATAATATACTATAAAACAGTGCCAGAGCAGAAATAAAAATAATATGTTCAAACTGGTTTCACATTAATCTGGATATTGTTTGGATGGAGGTACACAGCTAGCCTTGTCTTGAGGAGTTAGTATGTTGGACCACACTCTTATTCAGCAACCGTTTGGTCGGGCAGTGTTTGTTCATTTCATGTTGCTTTGACGTAAATTCTTGTGTGTGACTGTTTTAGTGTGTTTCGGGACATGAAACTCACAGGCATTTAATGTTTCTTTAACTTTCTCCTGACGCTGCATAATGCAATACTTTAAAAGCTTTACAGTATTTGTCTTTGGGCTCAGTGTTGATCGGCGCATTTTGGATCTAGTGTATGAAGTAAAGGATCTTTTAACCCCAGGCGTGTGTTCTAGTGGGCCAGTGGGAGTTAAACATCCAGTACAGACAAGTGTGGTTGGGTTTCCTTTAGTCTTTAGTTCCAGACTTTCTACATGCATTGTTATATTCTGCACAGTCTAATAAAGCAAGGCTATTTTCTTCTTCCACCACCTGTGTGAACTTAAAAGCTTCTGCCTTGATCTGGACGTAGGTGAAAATAACTGAATCAATGGTTAGAAGCTGTTAGCTGGAACATGTTTAAGGCTTCTCCCTCCTCCTCCATGTATGTACACATCAGCCACAATAGGAGACACCAATAAATGTGAATCACAGCCATGTTTTCTGCTTGCTGAAAACATTCTTGTACTTGATGTAGGTTGCCTTCAAGCAGAGAACATTCCAGCTTTTTTATCTTAATATAACATTACAGCTGTTTCCTCAAAGTCTGATATGTCTTAATAGTTTATACACATGTGAATAATAATTTCACCATCAGGCAGACCAGTTTTGCTCAGTCAATAACCTGGCATCCTCAAAAGATCTTTTCCATCAAAAGCTTCAGTTGCTTTTTCTTTGGTCCTTCTTTCAGTGAAGAAATTCTCTCCCCAAGTTCTGATAGAGCCTGTATGCTAGCATCATGAATGCTAAACTTCCCTTTAGTACCATTGTTGTTTTCGAATGAACAGTTGCTTCTCACAGACGTTATCATGCACACCTAGTGTTAAACTACACCCGTAGCTTATAGCGCATAGCTGTCATTAGTTCCTCGAAGGACGCTGATTGGTCCGAACCA